AAAAAAAAAAGAGAAGAATAAAAAAATTGATTTATATTTTAGTTTTATCAAATGCCATTTAAAATTTGTAGATACTGGTTAATCATTTTTTTACTGCTCTATCGCGTGATTACACTAGATACTGGATACTGATTCCCACTTTCATGTTATCACCTGTTCCAGTTTCTTGTTTCCCTAAAAGTTGTCTTCATCTTGTGTTCTGGCAGTTATAGATTCTCTTGGGAGCAAATCCAGAATTTGTGTCATCTTCGAAGGCGATATGTGCAGTTATATGTCGATTTGTTGCAGCGAGTAAATGTAGATATTTCAAAAATAAGAGACATTGAGAAAGACCTTGATCCCAAAGTTATTCTTTTATGGAGGTATGAGCCAGACTTTATTAATGTCTGTTGATTTTACCCTTTTATTTTTATTTTTTTTAAATTGATAACGATGAAAATATAATTTTTTGTTTCCTGCATATCCAAATCCTTTTACCCATCACGACATATATTGTTAGGATTGCCATGCCATATACTTTTGCTACATTAGTTCGGCTTGTGGACTGCGGTGTTGAGTCCTATTTGTGACTTGTGTTTGGGTTCCACTTCCGTTTTTTCTTTTTGATGCTTCTCTTTATTTTATCTAAAAAATTGATGATGTTTTTATTTAGATTTCTCGCTCATGCAAAGATTGAATCAGTAAAATCAAAAGAAGCAGCACAACAGAGGATGCTTAGAAAAGGAAGCTGGCTCTCTTTAAGATGGTCGGTACAGTTTAGCTATATTAAAATTTTCATCTACTTACAGTATCACCTCATTCTTCACTTTCTTTAGGTTTGATTGGAGTTTTCCTTGTCTTCTTCATGTCTTTGAATCTTAGTGATCATATGCAGTGTACAAAAGTATAGCAAGCCATTTAATTGAAATGAGATCATGTACATAAAATATTTTTAATATGCATCACTTATTACATTTCGAGTTTAATTAAACATTTTGTTTGCTGATGGTCATAAGGTGCTTTTCCTATTTATTGTCGTTGCTAACAGGCGAAGCACTTGTGAAGATGACTCTGGAGTTGACACTTCAAGTGCATCTCGGTCTGTTGAGGAGAGATTGACCAAAGAAGAATGGGAGGCAGTCAATAAACTGCTAAGCTACCAGCCAGACGAGGATTTAGCTCATACTGCAAAAGACATGAAGAACATGATACATTATATGATTATTGTTTCCATCAGTAAGGCAGCAGCCAGGATTGTCAATATCAATAACACTGAGATTGTTTGTGGTACATTTGAAAATCTAAATGTTGCTACGAAGTGTAAACATCGGAGCACCCATTGTGATGTGACGTTGCAATACTATGGATTGTCTTCACCAGAAGGATCTCTTGCCCAGGTTTGTTCTGTCTGTCGTGTCATTCTTTTTATGTTTCTAATCAATAGGGTTTATCATTAACAAAGATTCTGAGGTTCCTGTAAATAAATGGTTTGGGTATCCCTAGGATTTTCTTCTCTATGCCTGCTTCAGTAGTATATCTATAATTTTGGCGTCTGAATGACCTAGGAAATCTGATTCTTATTTACTGCTTGAAGCTCTAGAAATTGCTTATCACTTCATATTCGTTAATTATGTAGAATTTCAAGGATATGTTTCGTTTAATATATCATCTAATCTTAAAGAATCTTTCACCTTGTATTTGGGGTCATGGATGGAGTTTGAAATATTTGCCGAATGGACTTTTGGACGCAGAGTGTCTCAAATGAGCAGAAGGTCAATGCTTTGCAAGCTAGTTTTGTGCATGCCCCAGCAGGGGAAAATGTAGATTGGAGGCTTTCCGCTACAATCTCTCCTTGTCATGTCACGGTATAGAGCTACAGATTTCATCTTTCATTTATCGATTCCTCTATCAGATCTCAATTTATGATCTCCTTTTGTTATTGATACTTGCTGCAATAGATGGAAGTTTTTAAACTTTTCCCTGCTATCAGAGTTTCAGTAAAATTGCTTTGGGTTAAATTGTTTGTTGAAGAAAGGGTGAATTTGGGCAAAGCTTGTATTGCTGATTATGATTTATTACGAGTTGCTATGATTTGAGAGACAATGCATTTATTAGTGACTGTTGTCTTAAATTCGCCAGGCCTTCAGCCAGGGGCGGAGCTAGAATTTAAAATATCCCCGGGCTAAATTTAATTATGATGACAAAAAAAATCTTTTCTTAAATAAATGTAAAAATAGGACGAAAAAGATCAAGTTTTTCAGTGATAAATTTATCGTAATTAGGTATTTTTAACTTGAAAATATCTTTAAACTTCATTATTGATGCAAGAAACCATCACCATACTCACCTTTTTATATAAAGAAAAAATCAATCTAATTTGTTGTACAATTAATTCCCAACAAGTAATTTGGTTATTTAGGAATAAAATAGAAAGAAAAGAACTCTCAATCTAATATCTAATAAGAGCCTGGGATTTAAAGTGATTTGATGCATGGTTTAGTTCATTTCCTTAAAATTTTCAATTATCAGTGTTGGACTAAAAATAAAGAGATAATTTTTTATAATATATTAAATATATATTAATTAACTATAGTTATGTGGAAGTAACCCGGGATGAAGCCCGGGTATGAGCACATGTGCCTCCGCCCCTGCCTTCAGCGAGCAATGTTATTTAACAAAAATCCATTTGAAGTAAAAAAAAAAAGATAGTTTAAGAAAATTCTTGATTGTTGAGTTTTTCACGAAAAAATAAACCTATTTAAATGATGACGTCCTAATCCCATTATTGTTAACTACTTCTCTCCCCTGCATTGTACAGGTTATCGCAGAAAGTTACGAGCGCTTTTTACAGTTTGTGAAGAGGAGTACTGCTGTTAGTCCTACTGTTGCTTTGGAAACTGCAAATGCGTTACAGGTTTGCTTATCTAAAATTCATAGATTTTTTTCAGGAAGCCTATCCCTTATAGACAGATTATATTGCATACTATTCACTAGTTGAATCTAACCTTGAGCTATCACTATGCTGACAGCATAAAATTGAAGTGGTGACACGAAGAGCTCAGGAGCAGTTTCAAATGGTATTAGAAGAACAGAGCAGGTTTATGTCACATGTTTCGCAAGTAGAGTTGTCGCTTTTTCGTTTATCCACTTATGTGCTTCTGAATTTTCTTGAATTTGCTTACATATATGTATACCGAAACGATGGATACTTGTGTTGAGCCATCTGTTAAGATTGTTGTGTGGCTTGGCTTTCAGGGGGGACCTTTATCTTATTATTTGTTATTATTTTGATCTCAGGTTTGCTCTTGACATTGATCTTGATGCTCCCAAAGTCATAGTTCCTATGAGATCATGCACCTCTTTTGAAGGTGACAGCCATCTTCTGTTAGATTTTGGTCATTTCACTTTACAAACAAAGGTACCTGATTCCTATTCATTTTTCTAGCTGTGCTCATATGCCACATTGAGTTCTGTAAACTTATTTTATCTTTTCTATAGGAGGATGGTCAGCTTGATGACCACGAGCACAGTCTGTACACCCGTTGTCATATATCAGGGCGGGATATTGCGGCATTCTTTACTGATTGTGATTCTATGAGTAAATCTTTCAATTGGGGAGCTCAACCTTCCATTTCTCCTTGTTCTGAAGATGCCGACAAATTCTATTCTCTGATCGATAGGTGTGGAATGGCTGTAATTGTTGACCAGGTATATCTTGAAAATGGGTTTCTCAGAATTATTTTACGTATTTTGTCTTAATCGCTGTTGTATTAATGTACATTGTTTGACCTCAAAGATTAAAGTACCACATCCGAATCATCCATCCACACGTATTGCTGTTCAAATCCCAAGCATTGGCATACATTTCTCGCCAAGCAGATATTCCAGGCTCAATGAATTGTTGAATTTACTCAGTGGTGCAATGCCTAATGATGATCAACATACAGTCAAAAGCCTCCCAAATGGTCTTCTCTCCTGGAATCCTCCATATTTGACTACAGAAGCGAGATTTCTAGTTTGGAAGGTATGCTAAAAACTTTAACTAATTTACTTTTTTATTTTTGTGCTGCTGCTCTAAATCCATTTTAACCATTATGCAGGGAATAGCCTATTCTGTTGCTGCATGGCAACCCTGTTTTCTTGTCTTATCTGGATTGTATCTTTATGTTCTGGAATCTGAAACTTCTCAAAGCTATCGGTGCTCAAGGTATGCCATATCTTATCCTGGTTCTTTTTGTTAACTGCTATTACAGTACCTTTTTTTTTTTTTTTTTTTTCCGGAAAAAAATGGGATGACTTCTATTTATAGTTTGATAACATTGTGGTCATATCACCACCCAACATCGAAATTTTAAATTGATTATTAGATTTTTTTTGTTACTTTTTTCTAATTGTCCACTTTTGAAATTGCAGTATGGCTGGTAAACAAGTATGTGATGTTCCTTCGACAAATGTTGGTGGTTCGACTCTGTGTGTTGCGGTGTGCAATAGAGGCATGGATATCCAAAAGGTAGGTGGTAATAAAAACATGGTTTCTTATATAATAATCAACTAAAATGACTAGTATTTCTTTGGCGGATAAATATTTTAGAATTTATTGGACCAATTGTTTACTCATTAAATTGATAATTAAGATGTTACCAAAAATGAACAAGGATGCAACTTTTCATTTATTTATAAAAAAATCCATCAACAACTTTGAATTCCTTTTATTTGCTATTCGGTACGTGGCAAGATCATGTTGTTTTACACATCGCATCAACTTTAAAATCAACTTTAAAATCAACAGTTTCTACATTACACATCATTTATGTCAAAAAATTATGTTAAAGCAGCTTTATTCATATATAAATGCAGAGTTCCCTAAGTTTAAGTGTGTCAACTTTTGGTGCTTACTAATCATATTGGTAATCGTATATTTCAAATTATCGTACTTTAAAGTAGTCTATGTAGGTATGTATTTTTACCTTGCATATTAGGGTTTTTAAAATTATAGAACACTTGACTCACTTAAATAATAAATAAATTTTAAACTTAAAAACTTTTATATGCGTTATCATTTTCTGTATTTTATATATTAAATTAATCATCTTTTAATATTCTTCTATTTCATATCCATATCAATATATATATATATATATAAATAATATCTACCTTTATGAGTGAGTCTTATAGGTGGATGTCATTGTTAATAAAAAGAAGAATATAATTGATATAAATTTTTATTTTTATTTTTATTTTTGATATTAAATTGTTCAATTTATATAAAAGTAATTAATATCTATATTTTTTATTCTTGTGGATGTATTTTAAATAAAAGTAATAATATCATTGATATAAATTGTTTTCGATTCTTTAGTTTTATAATTATAAATATAAATTGTTAAATTGAACTACACGGGTGTTGTACTAGTATTAGTTGATTTAACTACTAACAAAAACAACAAAAACAACCACCCGTGAAAATCCTACTAAGTGGGGTCGGCTATATCGATCACATGTCACCACCGTGCTTGATCAAAACACATATCCTCATTCAAATTTAAATATTTTTCAACCATTTTTTTATTGTTTCCTTCTAAGTTTTCTTAGGTCACTCCTCCCCATTTTAATTTCTGTTTTTACTTCTAATGTTTCTATTCTTCTCACTAAGGCCTCAGAGTCTCTCCAACGAACATGTCTAAGCCATCTTAATTGTGATTCTCTCATTTTCTCCTCTACGGGCGCTACTTCAACTTTATTTCTAGTACTTTCATTTCTAATGATCTAATCTTATCTTACCTAGTATATCTCATTTATTTTTAAACAAAAGTATTAATGTACTTTTCTCCATTGATTGGGCATTTTCTTACTCTTCATGATATTCTAAACTAGTTCGTAAGCCATTCAATTCCAAATTTACCAAGGCATCTCCATGCCTCTATTGGAATAACACCGTCACCTACGGCTTTGCAATTTTTTCATTTTTTGCATTGCTTTCACTACTTCTGTGGTTTGAATTTTTCTATAGTATGTGAAATTTTTATATTTCTCACTTTCCTCTAATTCCTCTAGCGATATTTCCATATTATCCACTTCATTAAATTGTTTATGAAAATAATCTTTCCATCAATCCTTTATTATTTTATCATCAACTAATACCTCTGCATTTGCATCTTTTATGCATTTAATTTTTGTTAAGTCCTCTGTCTTCTTTTCCCTTTGTTTTGCACTTTTATAGATGTCATTTTCTCCCTCCTTAGTTTCTAATGTCTTATAAAAGTTTTCGAAGGCTTTTATCTTTGCTTCACTTACCAACTTTTCCACTTCTTTTTTTAGCATTTGTATAATTTTCTATGTTTTCATCACTCATACACTTTTGTATAAGATTTGTAACACGCCTTTTTCTCCTTAACCTTTCCTTGAATATCTTGATTACACACAACCACGATTCTCTAGTACACTTACTACTCCAGAAACCCCAAATTCTCTTTAGGTAATTGATTTTATCTCTTTACTTATCTTGTCCCATGTTTTATTTGCTCCTTTTTCCATACTCGGTTAATATTTTCAATTAAAGTTTTACTAAATCTTTCCCTTTTATCTTTATTATTAAGGTTCCACCCCTTTATCCTAGGGTATTTTCTTCTTCCCTTTTTCCATAATCTTTATTATTAAGGTTCCACCCCTTTATCCTAGGGTATTTTCTTCTTCCCTTGACTGCATTTAATTCTTATTCATGACTAGTAACCTATTTTGGGTTGTAAGACCCTCTCTCGGTATTACCATACAATCTTTGCGAAATCTTTTCTCTTTTCTTCAGTAACGGATTTAGAAAGTTTCACTCAAGAGGGTCCGATTTAAAATGTTAAATAACGAGCTTGTACCTTAAGTCGAAACACGAATTTCATATAAAAATGTATTTACTATAAATATAAATATAGATACGCATACGTGTACCGTCAAGTTTTTAAAAACTTAGAATCCGTATCACCCATAAAAAAATTAACAAAAAAATGAAATTTCATGCATTTATAATTTATAGTTTTTTTTTGTTGAACATATGCAATAGTATCTTTGTTGATGAGAGCTTATCAAATGAACATGTTTTTTTTAAGAAAAAAATAGAGTTAATAATATGTGATTACACAAAAAAAAGTATAAAATAAACATTAATAAATGCAACAATTTAACCAAATACTCGATTTTATAAATCACTAAATCAATTTAGAATTAAGAGACCGAAAGAGTAAATCATTATAAATAGTTTCAAAAGCTTATCTAGAAATTTAAAATATAAAGATTGTTAGTACATTTTTCAATAAATAAATAATACTATTTATGTTGATAAAAATAGCATAGGAAATAAGTTTTAATCATTAATATATTATAAATATTTTTTACATTTCTATACATATTTTATAGTATTTCCTTTATATATTGATTTTTAATAATTTTTTATTATTAATATATTGTAAATATATTGTAATATATTAATTTTTTTTTAAAAAATCAAAGGGGCCCACAGGCCCCTGGACCCTATGTAGCTCCGTCTTTGCTTTTCCTAGTTAGAAAGTAGTCAATTAGTGAATCATTAGCTCCACTCTTGTATGTAATGATTTAACTAAATTTTTTATTTAAATAATAGTCATTCGTATATAGTCTTATGTTTAATAATATTTCATTTAAAAACCTAAATATGCCATAAATGCATTTAAGCAACACTAAAACAGAAAATAACAAAGAAAAAAGTAGCTGAAGGCATTTAAGTCGAGGTTAAAATAAATTTCCGTATGTAATGGAAGGTTGCAGCCCAAAGGTTTATAGATAAAAAGGAACAAACCAGCCTACTAGCTTTCAAATACAACATAAAATCAGTAGAGTTATTTAGTGTGTGAAGATTCTCTGCGAAGTGGAAAATTGTGACGTTTGTTTAATGCAAGTCGTGAGATAAGAGAAACAAGCCTGTTGTCAATGACAGAAAGGAAACGACCCTGACGCTAACCTGCTGCAATAAGTTATGTAATGATTGGAAAAAATGTGATGTGCTAAAGGATGTGTGGTTGTTCGGCTGCAAAATGTTTTAGCCTGTATTTTTTCACATTGATACTCGTGCTATTGATATATAATCTCTCTTCTGCTCCTCCATACCCTTGCTGCCTTCGAGCTTAATGTTTTTCTCCATATTTTACGTGAAGTTTCACTAGTTTGGTTGGCTGCTTAAAATTGCTATTCTATTCTCTTTTTTTTT